TGGCACATGGATATGCAGTGCCTAGTGGGTGCCTACCTACATGCCAACTTTCAGCGCAATCGGCCAAGTAGTTACCGAAATATTGCAACAATTACAAAAGTGACACCTCTTCGTTTTGCACGTGGCACGTGCATAAGGGGTCACCCACATGCATCGGGAATAGTCCAATACTTGGTAGAAGGAATGAAGCTACCCTACAAAAATTACCGCATGTAAATCGGTCAAGTGGTTGCTGAGATATAAGCCTCGCAAAAGCGTCCGCACGGCCGGCCGGCCGGCCGGCCGGCCGCTCATACTCAGAAATTTCCGTTATTCTACGTAAGACTCCGCTCGCTTCGCTCGCTCCGTAATAAATATTACTTGCCTTACAACTTTTGTAAAAACGTTTCATTTTTTATAAGCCGACTTTCAGAGTCCTAAAAATTCATCAGCACTACAATCATTGTAAACAAACAAACGGAGCACCACTTGGCTCTGTTCCAAGGCCATTTTTTAGTTTATCTGGTGGTTTTCTTGCTCTTGTACGTCGTTTTGTTGGATGTTTTGAATCCCTTAAGATTGACTTATATCATATTTAAGAAGCATGTTGACTGAAAACAATCTGAAGTATCCAGGAGGCTGACAGAGGTCTTGACTGCTGAGCAATATCAATATCAAGTTGAACAAGTTATGAAATTTTGGTTGATAAACGCAAGTTGATCGGGCTCATATATCAGCAAGAAAAAGTAAAATTAAAAGAGCTTATTGTCCAAAAACAAGCTATAGTATTGCAGACCTTGGAGCAATACTGAGAGCACGCTGAGCAGGATCATGCCAGAACAGTGGTCGGCAGGTCATTCGGGGTCGTGCCCAGTGCTGCCAGATTTGGAGGATTTCCGCAAATCTGGAGGATTTTGAACTCTATTTGCGGACAAATTTCGCTTTTGGAGGATTTTTGATTCTGGAGGAAAATCTGGAGGATTTGTCGCCCGATTATTATATTCAATTTCATGGAAAAATATAACACATTCAAGACTAAAAAGGCATTTTCCTGCTCAGCGTCACCCTACCCGTTAGGATAGTCACGTCCTTTATCACCGTGAGACTGCAGAATGTCTCAGTCTGTAGCTATATCTACGAGGGTACCATACTACTGGCGGATCTAAGGGGGACATTTGGGGCAAATGCCCCGGTACCCTTGCAGCGCCCGAACTCGACGAAAATTTTCGTTTTTTTTTTAAGATAAAACGAAAACTAAACAACTTTTTTGAGAAAAAGTATCTTTTAAACTGCACAGCAGTGCGAAAGGATTCAAAATCCGATGAGTTTTTAGAATTTGGTGAAACTTTTTTTGGGGGTATAGCCCCCCGCAGCGTCCAAGACCGCCTTTCTATATCTATCAATAGGATTTGGAGGAATCTGGAGGATTTCTGTAACTGATCTGGAGGATTACAGCCTTCCCCATCTGGCAGCACTGGTGCCCCCTTTTTGGGCGCCAGGCAGGGCCATTACCCCCACCTACCAGACCCCATTGCTGACACAACCAAGTTTACTGAAATTATATACCGTCCTGGAACTCTTTGGGTATTTGTGCATTTCCAATGCATCAAGTTTAAAACATGACACTTCCTCCACAAAACATTTAATGCCTATATCCCAGTAGCGGCGGAACACCTTCAATTAAGGGGGAGGGGGGGGGCACTGCTGACTTTTGGTCCCATTCTTTCCATGCAACGCCCATAGGGCTAATGTTAAAATGCAAAAATCAAAGGGTGCACGGTGCCCCGGTGCCCTCCCCGTTCCGCCGCCTATGCTATATCCCATTTAACCCTTGTACGTATAGGGGCGGCGGGTGGTTTTTCGTTAAAAGCTCACGTAAAAGGCATTGGATCACGACCAAATTGTACCCTCGAGCCCATCATATTTTTTTTACCAGCCCGGAAAATATCATGACCTGAGACCAGTTTTACTAACAGAAAAATAACCGCCTGCCGTAATTTTTGCCTCAAGACCGCTTCACATACGGAGCGTAAACGCGATGGGCTCGTAGGCGGATAGGGCTGTTTACGCTCCATATGTTTACGCTCCATACCGTTTACGCTCCATATGTGAAACGATTTTTAGGCAAAAATTCCGGCAGGCGGCTATTTTTCTGTTGATAAAACTGGCCTCTGGACCCATAATGACCGTTGGCTTATGAGCTTTTTCTGGAGATCATCTTGAGACATAAACGCTCACTTTAAGGAGTTATAGCGGGTCCCGATTTTCTCGACACTTGTCATTGCCCTCTTGAATGAGACGGAATGACCAAGGACCTTAAAAATGAGCAGCAGCGGCTTCCTATTGTCATGGGTAGCACGCTCGTCTTTTTTATGCACAGCTCCATATCAGAGTTCGAGAGGCCGCGGGGGTCCGATCGACTCCTCCCCCTTACGTTAGCGGCTGTTGAAACGCCAACAGACGGGCGACGGTCAAAAGTTGCAGCTGCTTTTGTACGACTGTACGGAGGGGTGAGATGGTGAGGCGAGCAGGTACGTGAAAATTGGTATCTAATCAATGTGTGCTGACTGCTGTGCCTTTGGCCTGGGCTAATCTTTGAACCCTGGGATGCAACAGTCACGATGGCTCCATCATTGGAGCTACAAACTCTAAAAAGATAGGCTTTCTCAGAATCCCTCATTACCCCCACCGAAAGGGCTCCATTACCCCCAAAGGGGGCATGCCCCACCATTTGCCGACCCCTGTGCCAGAAAATGTTGACTGATGAGCGCATATTGATGTATTGGTATGAATATTGAATGATAACTTACAACAGCAAGATAAATTAGTGCTAACTATCAAGTTAAAATCTAGAATGAATGGACTTGCAGGCAGTTTTACTATGCTAAGATGCTATGCAGATTGTAATGTGCATCAGGTACTCGGTGTCTGGCAAATGAAACATGCGATCATTCCATTGCTACTGGAGGAGAAAGCTTGGATCACTAAATCCACTTTATGTTGATTTTGATGTTAATCATCATCACTGTATTTCTTGAAAAAAGGATTGTAGTAAAATTGTCAATGTGACAATCCATGCAACAATGTGATTATATTATGTGTTCATAGTCATTCGTGATAGTCATTATTGGTCCAATATACATACAATGGCAAAGCTCTCAGTCTCAGCGTTTTTCCTGTGGATGGCCAGCAGTGACTCAGAGCTTAGAAGTATTAGTTTTCTTCACAGGGCTGGGATAAAAAGTACTGAGGGTAATCTTCCACCAAGGAACTCTACTTTGACATGGTATGAGATGTAGGCACAAGTAGGTAGGTGCTCAGTTCCAATAGTCAGTAGTTGTGTATGTTTAGTCGGGTTAGCTTAGATCAGATTGTATTTGCCAAATGTCCATAAAAATGTGACCTGAGCAATGAGCATACCATACCTGAACCTGACTAACCTGACAGCTGACCTAACCTCAATGTCAATCATCACACATATTTGCAGCCTACCCAAGACCTGCATGGCAGTAGCACCCAGTTATAGGTAGGTACTCACCCTAACTCAATCTTACCTGCTAACCTTCAACTTGCCAAAAGTTAGCTCACATTGCCAAGCTGTGTCCAGGGAAACAGTCAACTGAGGAACTGGCTCATTGGGTGGCTGGTGTTGAGTCTGCGCATTTAAAGTGTTTCTTCTCTGAAGCAGCCCTGCACTGCTGTATGTCATGTTAGATGCTCAGAAAATGTGGGAAATGATTACCTACTAAGCTACTTTAGTGCTTTGTTAATGCTCGAGACATGAACAAGCACAGATCCTGCAGGGTACAGCTATGAGTTAGGTGCTAGGTGAGTATGTTATGTGAATGTGCTGTTCCCTGTTTGACCATAAGCATACAAACAAGCACAGGGTCACAGTTATATTCAATCTCCACATAAACATACAACAAAAACGGCCATATAGGTAGCCTAACTCCGAACACACCACAGATAACTTAAGCCTTTGAAGGCACAAAAATGTTTTGATTAACAGGACAGGTTTACAATATATCCTCTGTCCTTGGGGGATCTTGCTGCCAAGTTGAGGTATGATGACTGAACTTCAGGATTGATCAACCTTTTCTTAGCCACTGCTTATATACGAGAAAGACCAAATGCTTGTTTGTTTTGATTTACAGGACATGTATACAATATATCCTCTGTCCTTGGGGGATCTTGCTGCCAAGTTGAGGTACGATGACTGAACTTCAGGATTGACCAACCTTTTCTTAGCCACTGCTTATAAACGAGAAAGACCAAATGCTTGTTTGTAACCTGCGTTGAAAATTTAATGATCCACCTTCAATTCTGACATGAAGGCACAAATGAAATAGTTCCCTCTCCTTTTGGAATACACGAAGCAAAATCAAAATATTTAATAAATTTTAGTGGATGGACAAGAGCAATTGGCATAGCTTTCCCTCAAGTTAACTTCTGGCACTGTTGATGAATTACACTGACGCTTATTCGCTTTATATTTTGTAACAAACGCGCTAAAACTGCAATATAACAGCACTATATGCTTCTTGACAAAATGCAATAGTATTAAAAATTTAGCCCTGATGGCATTAATTCTTGGTGGAAACGTAATTACAAAATATTTTGTAGTAACCAATAAATTCCGGCCGAAAACAGTGCACGGTTTAAAAAAGAATCATTCCAATGACGGTCCATTCTTGCGGTCCTGAAATCGCCACTATTTCCGGCCTCTCCAACGCAACTCGTTGTCCAGACGTAAATATGCAGGAATACCCCTCTGAATGTGTGACGTCAGCGCAGATATCTAACGATTTTTAAATGTTTGACTAAAACATTTTGTAGCACGCGGTGGTATATGCTGCTTTGCGCGCAACATCTGCCGCAAACGCCGCACTTCTAAAATAAAGTCGCTAGAAACAGCGGAGATCCCAAGAAAGTAAACAAAAGTACAAGTCTAATATCTTGAAAACCGGTGAATATTTTTCGGTAAAATTTGGTAGATATTCGTTTTAGCTCTTTCTGAACCGAGCGCCATCACTTTCATGCCAATTCATAAACTTTTTTGAAGGTGGGAGGGTCCCTTTAAAAGTCTTTTACTGCTTTTCATATTATAGAGTTCAGTGCTGCTTTTAAAAACATTTAATTCTTTGCAATTTAATTTTTAGGTTTTACCTATTTTGCATTTTGCAATTGTCAACTTTTTTACACTAACTCAGCTATTAACATATTTTATTTGAAGTTGAAGTCACTTCAACTTGACTTGTCCTGGGAATAATCCATGATCACATTTTATTTGATTTTGTTTCATGAATTTTATTTTGGAGTTTGGTTTGCTCTTTTTCAATTTCAATGCAGGAATTAATTGCATCGTATATTTAATAATTCCATTTTTACCCTCCCCCAATAAGGCTATAAGCCACTGTTGCGTAACTGTGTGGGTTCCTTCCCAATTCACAGGCTGCGTCTGTCTGCGTTGTGAAGGCATACGTCCCTGCTTCGCTCAGTGGGCCAGTGCTCTTGGTGTCAAATCCATATGCCGTACATATGTCAGGCCAGGTCTTCAGCGCAGGGGCTAGCTGACACCAGGGATCTAATCCGGCCCCGGGTGCTCTTGAACCATAAAACTAAAAATGGCCCCACCAACTGTCCCTGCTTCCACCACAGCTGCATTGTATATTTGTTTAGCATTTAGCAATTTGCTATTATTTGATCAAGACTTTCCACCTATTGATTTTGTTCAGTAGGTACATTAACATATTAATGTTCATCACTAATATGAGATCACAATTCCCACATAAATGGTAGAAAATTATATTTGGCATAACTTATGCAAACATGATGGTAATAATAATTCATATATCTGTTCTTTTTCCAGGATGTGATGAAGCTGCCATTGTCCTACTGTAATCACTGACCTAACGTCCATACCAACATAATATTGGGAGCTGCAACCCAGAATGGCAGTGCCAGGTGGCCGTGTCGGGGTACCTGGGGGTCTCCAGGACCTAGGCACCATTGACTGGGGAGGAAACGATGTCCCGGAGCAGCCTACATCAACAGAGGGTCTGAGGCAGCAGCAACGGCAACTCATCAGAGGTGAGAATGTGTGAAAAATATGTATGCTTACTGTGTAGTGAATACAATATTGTGTCACTTTCTATCATATTATGCTCCCCTTTGAGCCTCCAGCATGTATGCAAGCATCCTAAATCCTTGGCAAATCCAGGAAGGTTAGGGATGCTGCTATCAGACTTGCATCCTATAAAAGTACCATTTTAACGTTTGCATGAATTAGGCTTTGTCATGCATTGCTGTATAGCTATAACCATTAACCAAAGTCATTTATTCAAGTTGTTTAACATTCTTTCTAAGCAAGGAAGCAATGGTGGAAATCGCCTAAACGTTCCAACTACCTAACTACACAGCATAGCATAACCAATCTATTAATTTTGGGCTATACAGGAGGGCTTGATTACCCCCTATCTGTACCTACTACCTATCCATTAGGTAAGTGTGTAAGGTTGTGTGACACGTGTCGCTGTCTGTCCACAGAGCAGGACGAGGGTTTGGACGTGCTGGCCTCGGTAATATCCCGACAAAGGCAGATGGCCGGCGCCATCGGAGCGGAGATCGAGGAACAAAGCGGTGAGTGATCAATGATTGTTTTTGGTGAGTTCATTAGTAACACCATGAATGAGTGTTACTAATAACACCATGAATGAGTGTTAATTTGTTTCCATTGATCAGTGATCGAGTGTGGATCTGTGAAGGATCCAGAGGGTGAGTGTTGGGTGGTACAATTAATGCGTTTTTAACTTAATGATCAAACATGTCTGCCTATCGTCGAGTAATCGAGGAGAGATGGGTGGTCGTCAGGATCGTAAGGTAATGATGGATCGATGGTAGATCGATTGACATCACAATATTATAATCGAACGATTGCGTCTACGAGTGTGTAGTGACCAGATGGAGCAATGAATGATCGAAAATCAGGTGATAGTGAACTGAGCAGAGATTAGTGACCGATTGGCAGGAAGTCAAGTCAGCTTTCGTGTGCCAGCGTGTCAGGTCTCAGAATATGAGGTGTCAGCCGTCCAGCAGTCGAGTGTCAAAATTTCACGCGTACTCCCCACGTTTCCCACACGCGTAACTCCCCACGTTTTTAACTCGCCCGCCGGCCCGTCCCCACAGCACTGATTGACGACATCTCCGATCTGGCGGAGCGAGGAGCCGCACGGATCGAACACCAGACTCGCCAGGTGCGCCGCGTCGACCGGAAAGAGTCCGGCACATGCTGTGAGTGCAGCTGCCATATAAAGGCAAAACCCATTATGTTAGGATGACCTCTGACTTGAGAAAATGGCCTCTGACCCGACATAATGGTTTTTGCCTTTGCACGGCAGAGTGGGGGGGGGGGGGGGCAAAGGAGATTACTTTGGGACGAATCTCGGAAACCTGTTATGAGTCATTCTATCAATCATGATGCTGGTAGCTGACATGTACAATTTTTCATGAGATGACCAGGCCCTGTTTCACGGCAAGACGCTACAGCGCGCTATGCTTATCGGTGTATTAGGTTTTCATGGAAATATCAACAAACTCTAATGCTGGAGCGTTAGCGTCCGAGATTGTTTGTGTTTCCATCGAAACCCAATACACCGATACGCGTAGCTCGCTGTAGCAACGTGCCGTGAAACGGGGCCGCGGAATGTGAGTTTAGACCGGTTGCTCACAGCTCAACGGTAATAAATTCCGCCATCTCAATCTTCGTAGGTTCCAGCGTTCTTTACTCGATGAGATGACGCTTTTGTATCGCTGCTGTCTGAATCTGCTCAGGTTTCTGATATTTTTCTCTCCACCCGCAGGGTACTGGGTGGTCATAATCGCTCTCATGATAGCCATCGTGGTCATCTTCCTGTGGTGACCTCCCGCCAACGGTCACGTGACTTCTGAGTGGCCAGGTGGACTGTGGCTGATGAGGTCACGTGACTTAGTTGGTCGAGTGGGCAGTGGCTGGACGGGACGTGACATTTCACGATTGGTCGCGTTTAAGTGGTACTGTTGGCTCCAGTGAATGGATGCAAACGACATATCGACACCTTTTTTTTAAACCCCACATCTGCTGCTCTCCCGTGAATTTCCGGGAGGCACGAAAGATCTCCTTTTAAAAGTGTCTAATCGTCCGATCCTGATCAAATATGTGTGTTCGTAGGCCTGTTCTGGTATTGCTTTATCTGCCAAGACAGACAAACTTGAGAAAAATCGTGTGATTGTACCTTTTTTGAAGGTCTCTAACCAGTAACCAACTTGTCTGAAATTCACCGGAGAACAAATGTGGGGTTTAAAAAAAGGTGTCGATATGTGCTGCTAAAGGATGCACCTCGTCTCAAACTAGTTGGCCCTACAACCTGTGAAAACTCAGTAGCGAACAACTTGTTCGAAGGTTGATCACTTTGGCGCTGCGTTTCATATCACCTGATCTCTCCTCGTCCCACACCCACGTTGTAACTGATGGCTAATGGATGGTCGGGCTGAAGTGTGCTGTATGCGCCAAAAGGAAATGTCCTTTCATGACGTCATTGTGATAATCTTGTGACGTCATTGAGATAACGTATTCTTATCGTTTGTAACGGGTGGTAATATTGATGTGTTCCCTGGGCATGTATGTGAATGAGAGCTGTAGAACGCAAATGAGCACGAAGTCTACACGCTTCTGACTGGTATAGACCAAAAGGAATGTGCTTGAATGTCGATCGTAATCGTATGCGTGTAATGGTATCGTGTAGTGATGTCAGTTACGGAAAATCGAAATACCGATACCAAACCAAATACCAATCAAAACCGTGGAGAAATACCGAAACCAAACCAACTTGGAAACATGAGGAAAATACCAACTTTTTACCGATTTCTTAGCCTCTTAAGCATTAGCGAGGGTCCATGATACCAACAAAATACCAAACACATTAGGACTGAAATACCAAATACCGAGTTGGTATCGGTTTGGTATCGGTATACCAACAAGTTGGTATCCGATTGACATCTCTAGTATCGTGTGTCGATGGGTACTTTGTGAATATTTTTGTACTTGTATCGATATGGTTATTGTGACATATAAACAAGGGGGCCTTCCCGGTATTGTGTCGTGTAACATCATGCTGCTGTGTATCGCAATATATTTTAGAACTTGTCTTTGAGGCTCTTATGTGAGCGTTCGGCCCGATTCTTCCATGTGATAGTAATACGAATGGGCCTGTTCTTAAAAACAACGAATACCGACTACTTGCTCACGTAAAAATGACCGCGCCGTTACACAGAAGACGATGATCGGCAAAGATATAAAGGTCGTCAATCGAGCAGCAGATTGATATTCGCGAATCTGCTGCAGGCAGTCAGACATTCGGCCGGGTCAAATATGCTGCTCTAGCAGCGGATTCGTGGATTGTCTATCGGCAACAGTTGCTAGAATGACGGACCGATAAGATGCAACCACAGATCACTTCACACCTGCATTGATCTAGAACCAGTCAGTGATCTGTCGACTGTCACACCGGTGTATGCGTTGTAATATGCGAGATAAAAAAAACGCCGTCAAAACAAGACTGGGATGAATGTATTGAGACGAATCGCTGATGACATGAACCACGCCGTTTGACACCATCTAAAACCAAACTCCAATCTCGCGAGCGACGAATGACGCGTATCGGTGCCGATCAGACACATACTTCTGTGAGAACTCTTCCACATTTCAAACAACACGCTTCACTCTTCCCACCATCCCCTCCCTTTCTTTCATCCTCATCTTCTCACTTTCCTCGTCCCTTCCCCACGCCTCCCAACCACTCTTCCTTCCCGTATCCCCTCCTCCCAAGTCCGTTCAGCCCTGTGGTCGCGGCGCGTTCGGGTTCTCGCCCTTGTAGAACTCCTTCAACAGACCAACCGCCTCATCCACTCGTCCAGGATCCTGCACGAACGTCACAGACGACGGCATCATCTGTGGCACGTTCACCACTGAACCACATCCACCAAATCGCTGGTTGGCCGCTCCGTAAGTCACCGAGCGCACGCCAAGCTCGATTAGCGCAGCAGCGCACATCACGCATGGTTCGACTGTTACGAACACGTCAATCTGCGCCCAGAGGGAGTCCGGGGAGAGACCGGCTTCCTCGCAACGGGCGTAGACGAGGTCTGCGCAGTTCAGCTCCGCGTGACGAGTGGCGTTCTTGGTCTCGTTCACAGTGTTGCGACCGGTAGCGAGGAGGCGTCCTCCGCGGACGAAAACGCACCCGACGGGTACTTCTTGGTGGGTCAGGGCATCACGCGCGGCGGCGAACGCCATATCCATGAAATGGTTGCCATTTGTAGGACGCGAGTTGCCGGGAGCGGTCAGCGACGCCGGGTCGAAGTTGAACGCGTCAACAGCGGACGGGGCTGACGTGCATGAAGTGTTGCCACCATTCTCACCAGCTTTGGGTTTAGTGTTGCTGGTGGTTGATTGGTGATGATTGTCCTCTCTCACTGCTGTGTCCCCTGCATCACTCATCATGGCAGGCTTATGACTTATCCTCACTGTCTCAATGTCTCACTGATCCAAGCTACCCTCTCACAATGGACATAAGAGGCTCAGCATGGACATTCTGGAAGTCCACCCGTGAGTCAAGGTCCTCATCGATTTCTCCAATGACCACCACATTGTCGCCACGGATCAGGTACAAGCCAAGCACCACCTGAAACAAATGGGTAGGTATATCTACTATGAATAATGAGGCTGAAATGAGCAGTAGTAGGTATTATGGAACCATTACACAGCACACATGCTTCAGTGAATCATGCACATCTGGCATTACATTTGTGAATTGGCAAAAAAAAAACATAAAATCACACTGCAGATCTGCTACTGACTTGTTCAACTCCAGCATTCTGGCTGTAGACCCTCTCATGACTCTCATCCAGGATGATGTTTATAGTTTGGTCGTAGCCCTTCAGTGTGCCAACAATGTTTCGTCCATCGGCTGTGATGACTGACACTGTATGGCCGACATATGATTCAATGCTAGATGCCATTTTCTAGCACAAAGCTGAAAATAACAGGTTGTGAGCTTCAAGAACACTTTAAACTGAAACCACAGTAAAAGCAATACTAAATCATCATTTAAAATAAAAAGCTCTTACAAACACAAACGTATTGACTGAATACATCCTGAAAATAGTTGACAAAAATACAAGATAATGACTAGGCTCCGCAATTCATACACAATTCCACCGATATTTCACGCATCTCTCCCGACAGAGACCTCATGCACACGCAATAACCGGTATGTTGTGGGTATATTTATGCGCACCAATTTTGAATAGCTACGTCATCATTATTGCCTGATGTTCAAAGAACTCCATTAGAAATAAACAGATATGGAAGCATAGTATGACGTCCAAATAAATCTGATGATGCTGCCAAATGTAAATTACACAAGCTGAAACGTTTTCTTTGTTTACAATTTCTACGCTGCTGCTACATTTAGCGAAAACAGTTTTCTTAACAATTGTGTTCTTAAACAGTTTCAGCAAGCACGGAAAAGCAGTTTGCGCGGCAACCAGCTGGTAAAAGTGAAGGTTGCTAGGCAAAACAGGATCACTTTCGCAACGATGTAGAGTAATGAACATCCTATTTTTTGAGTTAGCTTGGAGCTTGGAGCAAGCGGAGCAAGGCTTTGTGGAAGAATTTGCATTTCGCATGGTATGGATGCTTTTACCCTTTTCATAATTATCACCCGTTTGTAATGGTTGTTTTGCTCGTGCAAGGGGTGCAATATGAATAGGCTCACCAATATGCACAGCCATTGCCAATGCCAATTGCACCCATGCACGGGCTATGTATGCATGACAAGATTTTTGGGTTGTTGAAAATGGGGTTAGTTTTATGAGGATGTTTGTGAGTTCTGAGGGTTGTTCACGGGCCCTGTGTGCAGTCAGACCGTACACAGGCTATAAGATCTGCCCACTGTGTCCATACGTCAGCATTCCGTTACTGCACACAGCGAGTGCTGTGGCGGGTCAGGACTGGCCACGGGACCGTCTACCACACGCAGCCGTGACGTTAGAATCACCTACCCATCCCCTGAACCCTACCCCCACGCCTGCTGCACACACCACACACCGCAATGATCGCACTCAGCAGTTTGTGGAATGTGGTGCCCGTGATTCGTGAACACCCCTACGGAATCAATAGGAGCCAACAGCTCTAGATTGGAGTGGTAGTCGTAAAGCAGGTGTTGCGCTTATTGTTGCAAACCTAGGAGAGGTGCCATTCCCAGACATGCTTTCAAATAAAACCAGACCAAACCTGACCTAACTATACATGTATGCCTTAGAACAGAGATTGAGAACGCTAACTGCCCTTTTCAAGGCTTGATGAAAAATCCAGCAACTTTTTTCTTGGATGTTGAGTTTATAAAAATACAAACCTAAATACAGCTGAACAAAACTGCCCAAACTAGCTACTCTTCTCAATATTTCAGATTGTTGTGCAATAATCACCAAGAATCATGCCTTCTGATGTACGGGAAGGCAGGGAGCGCGAGAGAGGTCGCGAGCGCGACCGAGATCGCGAACGAGATCGCGATCGTGAAAGAGATCGTGATCGTGAAAGAGATCGTGATCGTGACCGCGAGCGTGAGCGTGAGTCACGGAAGCGCCCGAGAAGCAGAAGTCGCTCCCCAGGCGGAAGAGACCGCCGTGAAAAGGACCGAGACCGAGACCGGGACCGGACCCGAGATCGGGACAGGGACCGGGACCGTGAGAGGCGGAGGTCGCGCTCTCCTCGCGATGAGAAACATGCGTGAGTATCGGATGCTATTTCTTGCACTTATTTGTGTGGGCCGTGTCACATTGTTTGTATTGCAATTGTTTCCGGTCGCTATGTGAAACTCAACTACAGAAGGCAGCGCTAATCGCCAATAATTTTGTAATAAATGCTAGTAGATGTTTGCTTATAAACCTGCTATATTGCATTCATGGAAATTATGTAATAACAGTCAGCATTTTCAAGCTTATCAATCTGTAATGCTGAGTTCCATCCTCCCCCATTTTAGAGCTAAAAATGAAGAGGAGGAAGAAAAAGAACAGCCTGAAGTGAAGAAGGAGCCACTGTCACTGGAGGAACTTCTGGCAAAGAAGAAGGCGGAGGAGGAGGCCAAGAGCAAGCCCAAGTTTCTCACAAAGGAGGAAAGAGTAGCAGAGGCACTGAGGAAGCGACAAGAAGCGGTGAGCAGCAGCTCATGGGTGTTCTTTTTATCATCATTGGCACTTGTCCTGTCTTTTCTATAGAGATGATGCTCTTAAACCTTTCCTAAGACTTCCTCCTGTTGTTAATTCCTTTCAAGGACATATATGTGTTACTAATTCCATGGAATGGAGAAATTGTTGCTTAATTTGTATTTCTTATCCGCACCATGTTCACTGTTTTCAAATGTGGACCACGATCCTCCATCTTTATCTGCTGTGCTGCCCTCTATATCTAGTTCCCTCCTCGGCCGATAGGTGGCGGAGCAGCGCCGCCAGCAGGAGGAGGAGCGTCAGAAGCGTCAGGAGTTTGCTGCCGAGGGTCAGCGGAGTATGGATCAGCAGCGACGTCAAGAGCGACAAGATGTGTACCGCCGGCCGCCGAGACCCGATCGTGGAGACAGAGACCGGCGTGCGGGACAGAGCGGGGTGAGAGAGAGAGAGTGAGAGAGAGAGAGAGAGAGAGAGGGAGAGAGGAGAGTTAGAGGAAGAGATGGGGATAAATGTAGCAGACAGAGTTAGAGTTGTGTGAGACAGGAGGAGGAGGGAGATAGAAGAGTTGAACATTACGATATTTTTAAGTTGAATGTCAACTTCATGCTTACCTCTTACTTGTCATTTTTGCCCGGACTGCCTCGTATTCCTGCATTCCCTCAAGGTTGGCTCGATAAAGCAGCCATGACCTATGACCTGGCCTTCCCCTACCCATCCCCAGGGCGGTGAGGTCAGCAAAGACAAACAACGTGAGGAGGAAGCCATTCGAGAGCGTTATCTTGGTATCGTCAAACGCAAGCGGCGTGTGCGGCGCCTCAACGACAGAAAGTTTGTGTTTGACTGGGATGCTGGAGAGGATACGTCGACGGATTACAACGCGCTCTACAAGGAGAAACATCAGGTTAGTGAAAGTGGTTCAATGGAAGGTGGGATAGACGGGCAAGCCACTACAACTGCGACATACATACATTCTCTATTCCGATTATGTTTCGAAATATTGAGGAAAAACATGATATATGATCTTTTCCTTTCTGCTGATAAACATGGTAACTCGTTCGTATATTTTTCCTCAACTGCGTTTCGAGCGTAAAATTCATGGGAGGTAACATTCAAAATTCTTAGAAGAGTTGAAATTATTGCGTGTTTCCTTCACCGATATGCGCTTTGCTAGTCTTCATGTTTCTAAAATGTTCTCAGATCATGTTATTTCACAAAAGGGTCCGAGCCAACCAGGCACCAATACCTTGTTTGTCTTTGAGGCCGAATTAATAATCGATCTTTCTCGCCTGTCACCAGATCCAGCTGTTCGGTCGTGGCCACATTGCCGGTATCGACATCAAAACACAGAAGAAGGAAAACAGCCAGTTCTATGGGGAGCTGATGGAGACGCGACGAACCATGGCAGAGAAGGACCAGGAGGAGGAGAGGTGGGAGAAGGGGGACGGGACGGGACGGGTGACGGGACGGGACGGGACGGGTCACTGGATGGGACGGGACAGGACGCGTGCGTGCGTGCGTGCGTGCGTGCGTGCGTCAGTGAGTGAGTGAGTGAGTGAGTGAGTGAGTGAGTGAGTGAGTGAGTGAGAGTGAGTGAGTGAGTGAGTGAGTGAGTGAGTGAGTGAGTGAGTGAGTGAGTGAGTGAGTGAGTGAGTGAGTGAGTGAGTGAGTGAGTGAGTGAGTGAGTGAGTGAGTGAGTGAGTGAGTTGAGTTGAGTGAGCGAGTGGTAGAGGTGGGAGAGGGAGAGCTGAGTGAGAGGGATGAGGTCAGAGAGGGAGACTGGAGGGAGTGAAAAAGGGCCATAGGGAGAAGTGATACAGTGAAGCTGTAAGTGTTCAGAAACTAGAGAGACACTAGACTGAAGGACTATAGAAAAAGATGAAATGGACGGGACAAAGGAAGGAAAAAGGATGGAAATGACCAGAAATGACGGATACTTAAGGATATGTGTGAAATAGGTTGTGGAAAACGGAGCAAGAGGTGAGCTGTTGCCTGATGTTCTTGCTGCCTGATGTATAAGAGTGTCAAATGCTATTTCCACTGACCTCCGCCCGTGTTCCTCCCCAGATTGAAGAAGCTGAAGCGGCGTGAGGAGAAGCAGCGCTGGGACGACCGTCACTGGTCGGACAAAGAGCTGGAGAAAATGACCGAGAGGGACTGGCGCATCTTCAGAGAGGACTACAACATCAGCATCAAGGTGAGACATATATTGGAGGATGATAGGTATTATGATATCGCCTGGAATTATCACTCCCAGTCTAGGGCGATTCTATTTTGACGGTGTTTTCGAGTTTTCTTTTCGTTCACTCCCGTTAAAATTGTAGCATAGTGGCTACTGGCTATGTTCAACTCTTCGCTTGACTTTTTTTATCTCTTCTTTCAATTTCATACAGAGGTCCATGATTTCATAAAAATCAACATCTGTCATAGGTATTTAAGTGGTTTTATAAATTGCAGCCTCATCAAATAAGCAGCCTCGCTAGCGCCTGTGTCATGTGACAGTGGCCGCCTGCGTTGTCTGATTGTCTCAATCGCATGCCGATTGTCTCTATAAGTTGTCTCTTTACCCTGAAATTTCCCCTCATTCCTCCCTCCCACAGGGCGGTAAAGTGCCGAACCCGATCAGAAAGTGGAAGGAGAGTGGCATCAGCCGCGACATTCTGGAGATTATCGACAAGGTCGGGTACCGGGAGCCGACTCCCATCCAGCGTCAGGCCATCCCCATCGGACTCCAGAACAGGGATATCATCGGTGAGATGGCTGAACGATTGATGATATTGTTGACAGCTGCAGACGTGGCGAGTCGGGCACATATATGATTAGTTACGGAGCGAGCGAAGCGAGCGTAGTCTTTCCTTAGATTAACGGAAATTTCTGAGTATGAGCGGCCGGC